CAACAATACATTTTTGACATCAGTAACTGGAATCTATATAGACATTTAGTTTTATAGTTTTGACTGATTTAAAGGAGGGGGAAGACATCACAGGCAATACATTTCACAAAGAAAACTGTCCATATTTTTAGTTAATAATGAGGGGTTTACTTTGATGTCTAGACTAGTTAAACTACATTGAGAGAAAGTAATATAGATGTAGCGTTAAATGCCCTTTGAGTGATCATTACTGTAAAAATAAGCAATATATTTCCAATGTTATTCTGAATAAAAAAATTGAATGTACAGTATTTTGCCAGGAACAAAATTACTACGATTTTTAAAAGTCTGACCTACTGCAGCTGCTTTGTTAAAAAAGCAAATGATTACTTTTGCATCCACTTTAAGAGATCAAAAGCCAAGTATATTCCAAAGCCTGCAGCAGTGTAAGTGAAATTTTTATTTGTTATTTGAAATAAATTAAATGGAAAAAAGCCAGCTTCTTTCTTAATTCAGCCATCATATTTTCTGCATTAACATTTTGCAGTGCTGGACAATAGTTAATAAAATAGTTTCTATATTGCCTAAAATGTTGCAATTTAGTCCTTACAAGTTATGCCAGGCTTTCCACAATTCCATCTCCAAGGCAAAGTGATTCATAGCAAAAAAAATAGATTTATAGTAATCGCCTATAAAATGACTTAAGGCAAAGTACCAAAAAGTTGTGAGTTTCCCAATTCATAGTACATTCATTTAGGAAATATTTTAATGACAGGTAATCCTGAAAGCAAGCAGAGATACAGAGTAAACAGTATGTAAGCATGCCAACTTAAGAATGTACAAAGGGAAAATTCAAGGGAGGTATTCATATACCATGTAGTTTAGAAGGATCCCATTTTTGTACTTCGTGGTTCACACAAATGAAAACGGACAACATCAAGAAAAGAACAGGGCAACTTTTTGCTTATGCTCATCCATTTAGGTTCTTCCTACCCATTCTTCCTAAATACTCCTTTTATGTAGATGAGACATAATTTAAAGAAATACACAGTGGGGGAGAGGGAAGAAGGAAGGTACTCCTTTAAAGTATATAAAACTTCAAGACTTAGTGTAAATGTTTTCTTTCGAGCAGAACAATCTTTAGCTAAAACATTTGTCATTAATACTGTCAGGTTATGCATTTACCATTTTGTAAGTAACTTTGCTACTATCTGCCACTTCCCAGACATTTCCAGACATTACAAAATCACCACCTTTGTACCTTTAACAGCGTTTTATATTCCAAGATCTGTTTTTCTAAAAAAGGGGGTTACTATCTCCGTGTGAATCTTAACTACATCATTTCAATTTTGAACAGTTTTGTAATACAAGACAGGAGATTCAATTCTCTTAGAAGCGTGAATCCGGAGTTAGTCCAAAGATAAATCTGTAAGAAGCAACTCATTTGTCAATAATTAAGGCAAGGCCTGAGTTGCTTTAGAAGAGCAGACTTTTTTGCTTTGTGCTGTGTGCACAAAATTAACCACCCTCCAGGGTAGTTTAGACAAGAGATTTCTTTCCCACTCTATGCACGGTTATACTACACAGACCCACTCAACCAAAACAATCAGATTGGCGTAGGAGTTACCTTCATACTCTTGGAATTCTACACAGATCCTCTTATATACTCTAATACTTGGTGAGTAAATGATGGATTTGGAATTCTATAAATCTTTTTAGATCCATTCTATTTAATTCACTAACAAAACCAGAAAACTACAGTCTTACTTTCAACTCAAAGTCCAATTTTATACCACCCAGGACTTCACCAATATCCATGCCATTACATGAGTATAAAACAAATGTAGATCATCTGACACGAGGAATTTACTCTGATATGAAGTTCAGGGCAATTATACAACGGCAAGTCCCAATAGTGCTGACAGGATGTTCAGTCTGTGAGTCAACCATCACCATTTATCTAGTTGGAGGAGTCACCCGGAGAACTTCAGAAAATGAAGTGAGATAACATTCAGACCTGATGAACTTTGCCTCAATGGTTAGTTAAGCTATAAATTATTCACTCATGGTTAGAGTTTTCTTAACAAAGAATTATTAATTTTATTTTGAATTACATGAAATCATGGATACGGAGGTTTTAATCTCGAGCTCAGCTTTGTTTTAAACTGTCCTTAACTCAGTGCTATTTGTTCATTCTCGCCCCTTTATTTTTTTTGAAGGTCATTACACAAACACAATAAGACGGACACATAAAATAAGGCAAAAAATCTTCAGTTAAGTTGACATTAATGCAAGAAATATACTTACAGCCGTTCGAGTTGCTTTAGATCCTGAAATGCTCCACGCTCTATCATACTGATTTGATTTTCTTCCAAATGCCTATGATCAAAGAAATATCAGTTGTCAATAATAATGTAATAGAATGCCATATGTGGACAGTATTTTATTCTCTCGCTTCTCTACACATCACTTCACTTCAAGTGCCATTCACAGCAACACCAGTTACTGTGACAGTGAAAGACCGGTGTAAACTACCTCGAATGGCAGTGCTTTTTTCATAGTCACTTCTACCAACATCAGAAGATAGAATTCACAGTCCAAAATACATATCACAGGTAGTTTTTGCAGGAATGTAAACTGCATCTTGATTGCCAGGGCTAGTAACCACATTATTGGCTTTCAATTTTTATAGCGAAAACCTATAAAACAATATGTTGTTGTAGGCCTGATTCTGCCCTCATTAGTATTTTACTCTTCACATTTCCAATCATTTTAACTTGGTTCAGTGTAAGGAGGGATGGAGGCCCATAGTCAACATCAGGCACAAAGTTAACGCAGGGCAAAGAATCCAGACAAAGCCTCTGCATGAGATTTCAGACTTATCTAGAAGTTACTGAGTGGTACCCGATCAGTGAGATTCTCCAAGGGTGCAGGAGTCTTTGTGAGCACTGAGAGTCAACTTGCATCACAGAGAATGGGAAAAGCTACCAAGGGGAAGTGCTTGGGCATTTTTTTTCTCTCTCTCTCCCTGTCTCTCATTTTTTCTCTCTCTCTCCCTGTCTCTCATTTCCTCCCATGAAACAAGCACAGACGGGGTTGAATCAGCTGAAGAAATTGGAGGCATGTAAAAATGCCCGGCACAGTCTTTACTGACCATTATGTAGAATCCCACTGAAATCCAGTGGGGCCAACCATTTATCATTGAAGTGTCATCCTGAAGGGAGAGACAGATCACTGAAAGCTAAGTGGAGCCCTCACCTCACATATGATGCTGTCACACATGGTCCCAGCACGCTAGGGTATGGGGAGGCAAGAGAATAGGGCTTCTCCAAACTTCAGAGATCGCTGACTAGCTAGAGGGCTGGCAAGGAATCCTGTCTATATTTCCCGTCACCAGGGGTGCTGGAACCACGGGAACTGGGGGTAGGGCAGACAGCATCACCTGCCTTGAGGTGGCTTCCTTCACACAGAGCTTTGTTCTATGGGAACTGGGGGTAGGGCAGACAGCATCGCCTGCCTTGAGGTGGCTTCCTTCATGCACAGCTTTGTTCTATGGGTTTCAGCACCCGCACTATAAAAATTGTTGCGGTGTCACTGCCAGCCACCAGCTCCTCCCGACTAGAGAGTGGGATTGGCCCTGGAGAAGTGAGCAGACAGAGCTCAAGCGGCAGCCACAGAGACACAACAAGGGGCATTTGGACGGTGTTTGCTGATCAGTGTGATTGTGTCACTGTCTCAATATCACTGTGAAAGGTGTTGAAGTACATGCTGGACAAATTCCTGCCTATCCCAAGCCTCTCTGCAGTGGGGGGGAGGAGCAGGGGGACCTTTAATCCAAGTAGCTTGGATCTAACTACATGCACAAACACATATGCCAAAATAACATGGATTATGCCCGATTTTTACTGTATTTAACATGAATAACTGGCATGATACAATTTAGTCGATATTTTGTACAATACCCAAAGCACAGCAGTGAGTAAAAAAATCTGTTTATCAATTATTACATTACCATGTCAGTATATGTTATTTAAATAAGTGCCCCTGTAGAAACAGTGAGAGCTGGGATATAAACCACAAAGTTTAGATGGTTCAAAGTAGCAACAAGGTCTTGCCATAGTAGTCTCATCCTATAAGCAAAGTCAATAAAGCAAGGAAGTAGGCCTTCTAAGAAAACTGATTTTTTAAATCTGGTTGTAGAATAGTTATGAGTTGATGCCATATGTTTTGAAAGCAAGGTGAAAGAAGTGTGTATTTTCATCAGGAAAATATTAAGCATCTGCCCATTAATTTACAGTGTTAAAAGTTAATGCACTGTATATCTGCTTGCATCTTGTAGGACTTTAAGGACACGACTAACTGTAAAAAAGGTAGTGTAAAAAAAGTATGATAGCTAAACAGGGCACATGGTGAAATAGGAAGACTTTCCCTCACTTTAGCTTACCTACACTTCTCACAGGGGCACCTATTTGGGAAGAGAGTGGAAAACCTATTTCCAATCCTTCATTTGTGCAGTGACAAGCACAAATTTTTTTTGTTACTGGTCACCTTATAGAGCTTTAGCGTGAGGACAATAAAATTACCAATAGGGTTCCAATGAGCTAAATGAGTCACATAATATGAAACTACTGTTCTCCCATTAGCTTGAGACAGAGGGAATTACACAATGCCCAGCCAACTACAGTTGGGTACTGATTTTTTCTTTAATGTTACCTTTTTGTGTAAATGCTACACAGGCACTTTTAACATATAATGGATTTTCCAAGAAAAAAAATCAAGAAGTCAGTTAAAGAAAACCAAATACAAACTTTCTGATAAGTCTGGCATGGTTATTAGTATTGCTCAGCTCCAATTACAACATTGCAATGTTACAGTGCCACGTTGATCTGTGACTTATATAGGATCCAATCTAACACATAATACATACTTGAGACTAAGGCTATATCTACACAGTGTACTTTCAGTGGCACAGCTGTAGCACTACAAGGGATGCAGTGCAAAGTGCTGTCCACACTGGCGCTTTTTGTTGTTAAAATTTTGTTGATCGGGGGAGGGAAGGGAGGAGAACTTTTTCACACCCCAACCAACAAAAGTTTAACATTAAAAGTGCAGTGTAGACATAGCACAAAACAAATGGTAATCTTACTATTCAGCTCAATGGGCAATGGGAAAGGTCTTCAAAGTTGTCTTCAAACTTTACTGAACCACTTTCACTAACTTCTGCCTCTCTTGTAGCTTAGTTTCCTTACCCTCCATTATTTATGTTTTATTAAGGCACGCACCTCAAATTCTTGGCATTTGCATTAGAAATTGTACATGCACATACTGGAGCCACGCCTCTGTGTAGGCAAAGCTTTGATCTGGACAATAAGTTCATTATCTGAGCCCAAATATTTTATTAATCTGAAGGCTATCCAGATTCTCTGGATTTAGTTCTGCAAATCTGGCTGGGAACTCTTGACAAAAAAATTGCCAGTTAAATTTCAAGTGCTTCCCAGCTGCTCTGTATTATCAGCCAGGGTGGTGATGAGGAGTGGGGTGAGGATTAGAACGTGGCAGGAAGAACTTCAGGTTCAGGATTTCATCCCTTCTCTTTGATCCCAGACAGATATACAAGCCATAGAACTAATAAATGGACAATTTATACTTTAAAGTTCAAAGTTGAACAGCAAGGATATTTTTCCCACTCTCATCTGATTATGTTTCAATGATGTGTGATTCCTTTACTGAATTTTCTCCAGTTATGCACACTTCCATCTCATCCAAACTGTGTCTTTCCCAGTAAGCCAACTGAGGCAGCAGCAACATGCTGATTCTGAAAACTCAAGTCACCCACATTTGTACTTTTAGAACTTGATGCCCAAGACTCTTCTCTAGAAACATATTTATGTATAATGACAATATATAGAATTGATACAAATCATAAATGACAGCAAATTAAATTAGGGGTGATAATTAAAAGTTTCACATCAGGCAAATTAGAACAGTTCCTAGTATGAACTGTGGAAAATAATTTCTACCTCTTTGATAATTTCTTCTCAGGAGAATGATTGGACCCACAGCTGTTAGAACTGACTATTGTTTTTAATCATTTACACTCTGCCGGGAGGTATGGACTGTTTCCTTTAGGTGTGACCTTAAACTGTCAACTATTCCTTAGACAACTCCAAGTTACTTGTTAGCTGTGTTCTGTATGGGAATACAACTTAAATCATCCCAAAATGGAAAGAGACATTTGATAGTGGTTTAATAGAACTGAATGGTTTAACTGAAGTATAATGTATTCTATGGTGGAAAAAGAAAAGTTTTAATCACAATGTTGATTAAAAGCTAAGCAGAAAGACACTAATGAAGTAACACCCATTTTAAATAATTTAGAGTTTCTTTCTTATACCACAGCATGGCATAAAACTACCATTAGTGTTTTACATTGGAAACTGTGCATGTATCTGATGTGGTTGCTAGTTCACGACTAGAAGATGCAAATAACTCTATACTATATGAGCATCAGAACCACACATCTCTCCTGGCACTTATTTTTGAAGACTAATGTTCAAATGCAGCATTTTGAAGGGTGAAATAGTTTTATACTCACAAGACACGGAGATTCTTCAGACCAGCAAAGTCCATCTTGGTGATTCTTGAGATATTATTTCTGTCTAAGTCCCTGCACAGAAAAGAAAACAGATATTCATGTTTAGGCACCTTAACAGATGCATAAAACTCTGCTTGATGAGAATGCAAATTGTTCACCTGAGCATTTGTTTATTGGCACTCAAAACTGTACAAACCAGTTTTCCAATTAAAATCTAAAATGAGTAAAGATTTACTAATACTAATACATTTTGCTTCACCCCAGTGGTGCTACTTTTAAACTTTTCTTTGACGGGGAAGGAATCAGAAGAAGAGTATGATTCGCAGTTCAGCTTAACTATACTGCATTTCAGTAGTGTTAGGTGTTCAATTCCCTTAGGCAGGGATTTTCTAAAGAGTCAAAGTAGTTTTAACAACACCTCATCATCATACTGTAACTGAGCTCAGACCCCCACTGCTGCCACACTGCATTGCTGCCTCCTATACAGAGGGGCTACGTCTACACTGGCCCCTTTTCCGAAAGGGGCATGCTAATTTTCAACTTCAGAATAGGGAAATCCGCGGGGGATTTAAATATCCCCCGCGGGATTTAAATAAACATGTCCGCCGCTTTTTTCCGGCTTGGGGAAAAGCCGGAAAAAAGCATCTAGACTGGCCCGATCCTCCGGAATAAAGCCCTATTCCAGAGGATCTCTTATTCCTACTTCAAAGTAGAACAGGGGTGGGCAATAATTTTTGCCCGAAGGCCACATCAAAAATTTTTGAAGTAGCCCCAGACCACCCTGGAAGGGGCGGGGCCTAAACAGGAAGGGGCGTGGCTACCCACCCCCAGACCATGATTGGCCTCACTTCCCACTGGAAACCTATGCCCTGAAAGAGGCTTGGCACGCTTCCCCACCCCCAGGTCAACCAGGCCTGGGAACTGCACAAAGCCTCCTCTTGCCCTACGAGGGTCATGTGGCACTTTGAAGTGCTGTGGGCTCCTCTCAGGGCTGGGACAGGGTGAAGGAAGCTTCACGCAGCTCCCCTGCCCCCAGGTCCTAATTGGCCTGGGGACAGGGAAGCGCACAAAACCTCCTCCGCTCTCCCCCTCACCCTGCGAGCAGCTCACGGCGCTTCAAAGCATCATGTGCTCCTGGCAGGGTGGGAGGAGGCTTCACACACTCCCCCACCCCCAGGCCCTAATTGGCCTGGGGAGGAGCAGCAGCAAGCCCTCCGTGGGCTGGATTCGGCCCGCAGAGGCCCTTTTGCCCACCCCTGACCTGGAAGGACCATTCAGTGCTTAGTGCCCTGCTGGCCCAGAATCAGGCTTATTCTCTCCACGGCAAAACTCAAAGACCTTCCTATTATCCAAGATAGCTGCAGAATCCCAAAGTTATCTTTCAACATGGTGACTGATCAGTTCCTGCACTTGAGTTTCATTATTTACCATGCAACAGTTTGTTCTTTTCCAGTTAGATAAATTCCCCTCTGTAATTCACTGACTTCCACGGACATTAGAGCTGAGTCATATTACTTATTATTTAGCTGACAAATGATTGGGTTTTTTTAAACAATTTCTTCATTGTTCAGCCAAGTCTCCTGGAGACTACTCGGCTCTGGTGAGGCCACATCTGAAGTATTGCGTCCAGTTCTGGGGCCCCCGCTATAGAAAGGAAGTGGACGCATTGGGGAGGGTCCAGCAGAGGGCAACCAAAATGATTAGGGGGCTCTCCTGAACTAAGAGGAGAAGCAGAAGGATCTGGGCTTGTTTAATCTGCTGAAGAGAAAAGTGTGCGTCTGTGTGTGAGGGGGAGATTTGAGAGCAGCCTTCAACTTCCTGAAGGGAGATTCCAAAGAGGATGGAGAGAGGCTGTTCTCAGTGGGGACAGATGACAGAACAAGGAGCAATGGTCTCAAGTTACAGTGGGAGAGGTCTAGGTTGGATATTAGGAAAAACTATTTCACTAGGAGGGTGGTGAAGCACTGGGATGGGTTACGTAGGGAGGTGGTGGAATCTCCATCCCTAGAGGTTTTAAGTCTCAGCTTGACAAAGCCCTGGCTGGGTTGATTTAGCTGGAATTGGTCCTGCTTTGGGTGGGGGGCGGTGTGGACTTGATGACCTCCTGAAGTCTCTTCGAGCCCTATAATCTATGAGAAAAAATTAAAGATGCGCACTTTTTTGTAAACAACTGTGTCCAGGTGAGCTCTTCTGGCTTAGGCTAATTATTAACTGGGATTAGGTTCGTCAATGGGATTTCAGGGGTTCATGAGTCCTTCAGCTACCTTAGACCCACCTATAATTTCCCATGGCAATTATTTATTGCTTGCTTTCAACAGCAGCTCTTGAAACTTTCTGCTAATTTAGACACTCAGGAGAGATGAACCACTGACAAGGCCAAAGTGATAGCATGAACTGCTAGCCAAATTTAATTAGTTCTTCTGATTAAATTGTTTTTCATGATATGCAACACTTTTGCGGGAAAACATCATTTTAGATTTCCTTTATAAAAAGCTTAGTAGGTGTCTGTGGGATCGCTAGCGTGTTCCAGCAGCAATAACCTAAAGCTTAACCTCTAATCTTCATTGGCTTTCACTTCCAAACAAGCAAAAAAACCTAAAATTAGGATTGATCACGTCTTTTGGTGGCTATGCCAAAGTACCTTTCAGTGGAAAATCCTTTAAATCAAGTCATGCAGAGACACTTGGAAAGCTATACGGCAAGTCTAAAGAGTCTTTTACTTTATAGTTAATACATTCTCCATTTTTTTAAAACATAGCTTCATGCAGAGCAGTATACATTCATTATGAACAAATATCCCTTCGGGGCAGAAGTCTTGCATTCAGGGCCAGCTATAACCCTTTTCACCGTGTTAAACTTCACCCTGCATGCACAAGAGCCCTGTTAATATTGTGCTAAGCTACGTGTCCAGAGAACACTCTCCCATATAACGCGAGGTATAGGAAAGCTGGCAGTCATGAGCTGAACTCTCTTCTGACGGTTCATAAGTAGCTCTGTTAACACTATTCACCTTTCCCCACAGGAGAGTGGATTGAGGTTGTGACCCACACCAATTCTAGTAAGACGGCTGGTTCTTATGACTCTCTGGGATAATTTATTTTTCTTTTGGCATGCCACATATAAAGCAGAGCGGTATAAAAACACTATTAACTTTTAATGTAGGTTTTGTGGCACCTTTTGGAAGCAAATAAACAAACAATGGCATGGAATAATTTCTGCTGGAACTTAAATATGGATTGCAGTGGCCTGATAGCCATATTTTGTGTGAATATCAATAAAGTAAGCTCAGAATGAGCTGTTACTTTAAAGGATGTTTTACCCATAAACATTGCCTCCCATGCACTAATAACTATATAATTTGATACATATTTGGTAAATGTGCTGAAAAATAAGTCACACAATGCATAGACTCATTGCAAGCTGCAAAACAAAGCAACTGGAGCAAACCCTGTTCCAAAGCAAGCATTCTTCAGAGTTGCTTAATCCTACATTCCTCTTTGAAGAGAATTTAGTGAACTCAAGCCAGACATGTGAATAATATTTTCAAGTGTCTCCAAGATTCCATGATGCATGCCATAATGCAGTTTCAAATAGCATCAGAACGACATACATTTTTCTATCCTCCAGCACAGTCTGAACAATTTTCAATTTACAGTTATTCTTATGTGCCATCCAAACCCTTCAAAACCTAAGTTGGGAATCTGTTCTTCCAAAAACCTCACCCTCATCGTGAGAATCATACCAGCACATCAATAGGGCTACATCTGCACTGCAGCATTATTTTGGGATACCGGAATAACTATTCCACGTCTACTGCACACGCCCATTATTTTGAAATATAACGGGCTCGCTATTCCAATGTCCCTGTAAGCCTCATTCCATGGGGAGTAAGGAATATTTCAGAATAGCAATTTATTTCGAAATAAGCGCTGTGCAGACAGCGCCAAATTTCAAAATAATCTATTCTGAAATAACATCGAAATAAGATACACAATTTGCGTAGCTCAAATGGCATAGCTTGTTTCGAGCTACGGGTGCAATGTAGACGCACCTTAGAAGAATAGACTCATTTGTCTACTTTTTCTAGTTGTCTGTGCACATGAATTTATACACACACACACACACACACACACACACACACACACACACCATAATTAATTAAAGGGGGGGAGACTGAGGTTTTTTGGCTTCAATTCTCAGTAATGCCTTGCCAAGCATATTCTATGCAGGTAATTTAACCCCTGCTTCCCACCATAAAGTCACAGTACTTTTTGGGTGAGGGGTTAAAGTTGAGATTTAAGAAATACTTCAGATGAAATGCCAGACCAATTTCTCATATTGTGCAATATTAAACAATAACCAGGAGCAAACAATGGTTGGAGCTATGATATGTGACCTAGTATGTCTACACTACAAAATCAAGTTAACCTAATTTACGTCGGCATTCAGCTGCTGTTGTAATTGCATCACTCATCCATGTCTACACTTTACTCCTTGTGTTGTTGGCATGCATCCTCACTGGGAGCACTTGTACGGACTGAACTGTCAACGTGAGGCATTTTGAGACAGCTTCTGAAAGCCAGCTACAGTCAACACAAGGCTACGCTGACATGGTGTCGACCCAACTACATCAACGGCAACTCTATGCTTCTTGTTAAATTGCCGATTTTCTAACTGTACAAAACCAAACACCCTTGTCCCACCTTTGCCCTCACCCCTGCCCTGTATCTGAGACCCCACCCTCTGCAAACTTCAGACACCCTCCCTTTGTTAGGGGTGTTATACAGTTAACCGGTGTGCCTACCAGTAAGCCTGAAGCTTACTGATTAACAGGTCTTTGCTGATAAACGCCGGTGGCAGCCATCGGAGCGGTTCCAGAGCAGCCCCAGCCACAGAGGGGAGGGTGGGCTGGATGGTGAGACCCCCCAGGACCACAGCAGGACCAGTGGTAGGACTTCATGGCCAATCAGCGGACATGGTGGTAGGCCCTAAGTTAACCGGTGAAGAGCTAGCATTTAACCAGTTAACCGTTTTAACATTCCTACCCTCTGTCACTTACTTTCCCACAGCTT